CAGGCTGGGCATGGTGGTTCATGCCTGTAATCCTAACACTCTGGGAGGCTGAGGTGGGAGGATCGCTTGAGGCAGGAGTATAAGACCAGCTTGGGCAGCATAGTGAGACTCTTATCTCTAAAAAAAAAAAAAAGCCAGGTGCGGTCGCACACCTGTAGCCCCAACTACTCTAGAGGCTGAGATGAAAGGATCCCTAGAGCCCAGGAGGTTGAGACTACAGTGAGACATGATTGCACCACTGCATTCCAGCTTAGGTGACAGAGTGAAACCCTGTCTCTAAAGCAAAGCAAAACAAAACAGAAAAACAAGGACAGAACTTCTACTTTTTGCCTTAAACAAATAGAAACCAGGATAAAATATGTGAAGCAAGAGTTTCCAGATATGGGACAATAGGCAATAAAGGACCATGATACTTGAGTGAAGGATGCAGATGAGATGAGACCTCCAAGTGCCCCGGTTCAAGGCTGGGCAGAGTAGCCAGGCTGCAGTGCTGGGAGGAGAATCAAAGAGGTACTGATGGCCTCCCTGGGTTGAAGACACAAAGTGGAGAGTTTTGGGAGGCCAGTGGCTAGAACACACAGGACAAAGTGCTGGAAAGGAGACGGCTGAAGAAAGAGAATGCTCTGAATCTGCAAGAGATTTTCCCACAGGCTAGCTGGTCTTAATCAGCTAATGAAAGTGAGAAAATTGCTATGGCCAGAAATAGAACCTCCAGAAAGGAGCAGAGGGAACGATCTTCAGAGCTAATGCCAGCTCTTAGTAGTCAGAATGGAAAGGTCTCCTAGCATATGGACTAGGAAGTAGAGCCTTGAGACTGTCTGGAACTCACCCGAGAAAGCTGAAACACAAACCTCAAATGGACCAAACCATTCCCAGCTTGCTTTAGTCTCAGAAAAAAGTTGAAAATATGAAAAGTCTATATTTTGACAAACAACAAGAACAGAACCCAGAGGTAAAAATCACGATGTCTGCCATCTAACCAAAAATGGTGAAGGAGCAGGAAAACGTGCAACCAATCGAAGCAGACCCAGGAATGACAAAAATGACTTAGTAGACAAGACATTAAAATGGCCTTTATAAATATGCCCTATATGTTATAGAATGGAGAGGAAATCATGAGCATGATGAAGAGGGAAATGGAAGCCAAGAGATTCAAATCAAAATTTTTGTGACGAAAGCATAATGTGTGCGATGAAAAAATACACTAAACGGGGAGTAGCAGCAGATAGTCATAATGAAATAGAGTTTATCCCCAGGAATGCAAGGTTTAACACTTGAAAAATCAATTATTACTTTGTCATATTAAAATATTAAAAAAGGAAAACCATATGAACATCAAAAAACCTTCTGTCAAAATTAAACATCCAATCATGCCTCAGCCTCCTGAGTAGCTAGGACTACAGGTGCTCACCACTGTGTCTAGCTAGTCTGTGTTGTTGTTAGAAATTTACAAACTGAATCTAAAACTTACATGAAAATACAAAAGACTTAGTATAACCAAACTGATTTTGAAAGTGAACTAAGCTGAAAGTTTTAAGCTACTTGATTTTAAGACTTCAGAAAGTTAAGATAATCAAAACAGTGTGATGTTGGTGTAAAGATATATTGTCAATGTGGGTTGATATACATTTGTCAGGCGTGCTGACTCACATCTGTAATCCCAACACTTTGGGAGACCAAGGTGGGTGGATCACTAGAGGCCAGGAGTTTGAGGCCAGCCTGGCCAATGTGGTGAAACCTCATCTCTATTAAAAACACAAAAAGTAGCTGGGCATGGTGGCATATGCCTGTAATCCAGTTAGGTGGCTGAGGCATGAGAATCACTTGACCCAGGAGGCAGAGGTTGCAGTGAGCTGAGATCATGCCACTGCACTCCAGCCTGGGAGACACTCTTTCTCTTTCTCTCTCTCTCTCTCTGCCCCCCGTTCTCTCTCTCTGGGTGTGTGTGTGTGTGTGTGTGTGTGTGTGTGTGATACAGGAGTTTGGCCAGGCTGGCCTCAAACTCCTGTCATACACACACACACACACACACACACACACACACACACATCATAGGAACAGATTAGAGTCCAGAAATACACCCATACATGTATAGCCAATTGATTTTTGACAAAGATGACAAGCCAATTAAGAAAAGAATAATATTTTCAAAAAATGGTGCTAGAATGATTGGATAGCCTTAGGTAAAACTGTGAACTTCAACTCATACCTTACGCCATTGAATCATAGATCTGAAATGTAAGCGCTAACATTGGAAAACTTCTAAAAAAAATAAAGAAAATCTTGGGATAACCCAAAGGACAACCAAAATGTCCATCAGCAGGTGAATGGATACACAAATGTGCTGTGTCCATCCAATAGAATACAATACAATAGAATACGATTCAGCAATGAAAATGAACCCACTAGGCCGGGCGTGGTGGCTCAGGCCTGTAATCCCAGCACTTTGGGAGGCCAAGGCGGGTGGATCACGAGGTCAAGAGATCGAGACCCTCCTGGTCAACATGGTGAAACCCCGTCTCTACTAAACATACAAAAAATTAGCTGAGCATGGTGGCACGTGCCTGTAGTCCCAGCTACTCGGGAGGCTGAGGCAGGAGAATTGCTTGAACCCAGGAGACGGAGGTTGTGGTGAGCCGAGATCGCGCCATTGCACTCCAGCCTGGGTAACAAGAGCAAAACTCTGTCTTAAAAAAAAAAAAAAGAAAAGAAAAAAAATGAACACACTAATGACACACTCATCAAAATGGATGAATCTCAAAATTATTATGCTGAATGGAAGAAGCCAGACAAAAAGAGTACATTCTGTATGAGTCCATTTACATAAAATTTTAGAAAATGCAAACTAACTCTCAGTGACAAAGTAGATCAATGGTTGCGTGGGGTGATGGGGGAGAAAAGATGGGAAGGAGAGATTATTTTGTTTTAAGTTCTGGGGTACATGTGCAGGTTTGCTACATAGGTAAACATGTGCCATGGTGGTTTGCTGCACCTATCAACTCATCAACTAGGTATTAAGCCCGGCATTCATTAGCTATTTATCCTGATGTTCTCCCTCCCACACCCCCTAAGAGACCCCATTGTGGGTTGTTCTCCTCCCTGCATCCATGTGTTCTCATTGTTCAGTTCCCACTTATAAGTGAGAACATGTGGTGTTTGATTCTCTGTTCCTGTGTTAGTTTGCTGAGGATAATGGCTTCTAGCTCCATCTATGCACTTGCAAAGGACATGATCTCATTCCTTTTTGTGGCTGCATAGTATTCCATGGTGTATATGTACCACATTTTCTTTATCCAGTCTATCATTGATGGGCATTTGGGTTGACTCCATGTCTTTGCTATTGTGAATAGTGTTGCAATGAACATATGCATGTATGTATAACAGTAATTTATATTTTGGGGTGTGTATACCCAGTAATGGGATTGCTGGGTCAAATGGTATTTCTGGTTCTAGGTCTTTGAGGAATTGCCACACTCTCTTCCACAATGGTTGAACTAATTTACATTCCCACAAACAATGTAAAAGTGTTCCTATTTCTCCACAGCCTTGCCAGCATCTGTTATCTTGACTTTTTAATAATTGCCATTCTGACTGGTATGAGAGTATCTCATTGTGGTTTTGATTTGCATTTTTCTAACGATTAGTGATGTTCAGCCTTTTTTCATGTTTGTCAGCCACATAAATGTCTACTTTTGAGATGTGTCTGTTCATATCCTTTACCCACTTTTTAGTGGGGCTGTGTGTTTTCTTCTTGTAAATTTCTTTCTTTTTTTTTGAGATGGAGTTTTGCTCTTGTTACCCAGGCTGGAGTGCAATGACACGATCTCGGCTCACCGCAACCGCAACCTCCTGGGTTCAAGCAATTCTCCTGCCTCAGCCTCCCGAGTAGCTGGGACTACAGGCACGCACCACCATGCCCAGCTAATTTTTTGTATTTTTAGTAGAGACGGGGTTTCACCATGTTGACCAGGATGGTCTCGATCTCTTGACCTCGTGATCCACCCGCCTTGGCCTCCCAAAGTGCTGGGATTACAGGCTTGAGCCACTGTGCCCGGCCTTCTTGAAGTTTCTTGTAGATTCTGGATATTAAACCTTTGTCAGACAGGTAGATTGCAAAAATTTCCTGCAATTCTGTAGGTTGTCTGTTCACTCTGATGATAGTTTCTTTCAAAAGCTCTTTAGTTTAATTAGATCCCATCTGTCAATTTTTGCTTTTGTTGCAATTGCTTTTGATATTTTAGTCATGAAATCTCTGCCCATGCTTATGTCCTGAATGGTATTGCCTAGATTTTCTTCCAGAGTTTTTGTAGTTTAGAGTTTTACATTTAAGTGTTTAATCCATTTTGAGTTAATTTTTGTATAAGATGTAAGGAAGGGGACCAGTTTCAATTTTCTGACTATGGCTAGCCAGTTTACCCAGCATCATTTATTAAATAGGAAATCCTTTCTTCATTGCTTGTTTTTATCAGGTTTGTTGAAGGTCCGATGGTTGTAGATGTGTGGTCTTATTTCCAAGATTTCTATTCTGTTCTATTGGTCTATGTGTCTGTTTTTGTACCAGTACCATGTTGTTTTGGTTACTGTAGCATTCTAGTATAGTTTGAAGTTGGGTAGTGTGATGCCTTCAGCTTTGCTCTTTTTGCTTAAGATTATCTTGGCTATATGGGTTCTTTTTTGATTCTATATAAATTTTAAAGTAGTTTTTTTCTAATTCTGCAAATAATGTCAATGGTAGTTTAATAGGAATAGCATTGAATCTATAAAGTACTTGGGGCATCATGACCATTTTTATGATGTTGATCCTTCCTATCCATGACCATAGGATGTTTTTCCATTTGTTTGTGTCGTCTCTTATTTCCTTGAGCAGTGGCTTGTAGTTGTGGAATAAGAGATTTCAAAGGGGAATGAGGAAACTTTTTCAGTTGATGGAAATGTGTCTTGATTGTGGTGATGGTTTCATGGATACACAAATATGTTGAACTTATTAAATAGTAGTTTACAAATATATAAAGTGTATTGTAAGTCAATTATGCCACAACAAACCTGTTTTTGAAAATACAACAAACAGTTGTAGTACAGTGGACTCTAAATCCATAATGTGTCGGGGCAATTGATACTAGTTGCTAAAACAAGAAGCCCAGTGTCTCATTGGTTTAATAAAGCGATCATTGCTTTGTTGCTTATGTCATAATTCCATGTGTGTTGGGCTGCTCCTGAGAGCTTGAAGCCAACTAATGACTCGGGGACCCTGCTTCTTCCATCTTGTGACCCTGGTGCCTTCAACATGTGGCTTCCTCTCTTTTCAAGAAAAAGAAGAGACGGCAGAGACGATTATGACCAGAGCTTTCATAAGGAGGTGCCCCATGTCTACCCACATCCCTTAGGCCAAAACCCAGTTACATGGCAGGGAGGTTGGCAATATAGTCCTCTCGATGCCAATAAATGAGAATAGTGTTTTCATTTATATATTTCACCAGACCCTGCCAGAAGAAAACTAAATTGCCTTCCCCCAAGGAGTTATGCACATAACATGGATTACAAAAGACATGGGGGTTCTGAGTCAAAATACCTATGTTTGGATTCCCTCACAGTTTTCTCCCACAGGGCGTTTGCTTTATATCTCTTACCTAGAGAGCCTATTTAAAGACCTCTTCTCAGGAAGGAATAGTTTCTGCACCAAAGGGGATACCAAGTCTTCAACTCCTTAGAGAGAGAAAATTGGTTATAATTTTCAAATCATTACCACTGCCTTCCCAACTCCTTTCCCACCTCTATCCCTAAGGTTTCAAATCTTCAGAGTTCAGTCTAAGCAAAGGTCTGCAGCTATGAGCCCCATGCCATCTACATCTGCACCTGCTTGACGGGAAACTGAATCCAGCATAATGACAGAGATCCACCAAGAAAATTGTAGCAGGATCAAGGGACTTCTCACCAGCCAGATAGCCCCAATATGTGACCATTTGTACAGGCAGTGACAGTGACAAGATATGAATTCAAGGACTTTCACTCTCAGTTGTGTGACCCTAGGCAAAATAAATCCTTCTGAAAGCCTCAGTCTCTTCATTGATCACAAATATGGGGACAATTATAATACTATCAAAGTCAATTAAACAAAGAGTTACTGGGCACTGTGATGAAATAGTGAATAGTATATTGAAAAGTTATAATCCTTTTGGAACTTGCAGTCTAGAGTTAGATGCAAAGAAGCAAAGACAGTTAATATTATGCATTAAAGTCTATGATAGGAACAATATCCATCTTATAAAGACTGTGAGGATCAAATGAGGTCTAATAAATGCATTTAAGCTCTACATAAACTGTGAACTGCCCTACAAATGCTAGTTACTGCCATAAAGCAAACAGGCCCTGATGTCATCTGAGTGCCATTACATCCCTACCCCTACCCCAAATGCGTGAAATGCAGAGAATTACCCAAGGATATAACACATTTGCATAAAAATGGAATTAAATGAGATAGTAACACATGGAAACATGCTGCAAAATCACATGCTACACACATATAATTTATTCAAATGGTTATTTCTGATGTTTATTACCAAGGACATAGCCTATGTGGTTCAAAATGGCCTTTCCGTGATGGGATAGAAAAGGCTGCTGTTTTTCAGCCTAAGTACATGATCCGTGATGTAGATGATTATCAGCAACACAAAAATACATCTCCTTGAGCTCATCTCGGAAGGCCATGAGGGTCCATTGGTAGGATTTTAATGCCCTAAAGAGCATATTTTCACACACACAAGAGAGAAAAGATGCTTTGTACTTTGTTGCAACATTTATTCCCACCTCCTCTGCCCACCTTCCCCATTACCTACCCCAGTAAGGTCTTCTACAATATCCCTCTATCTTCATGCTGACATAACATATCACATCTTCAGGTTTAACCAGGGGGCTTTCCTTGTATCGCAAATTCTCTCGAGGCACTGGGTCTCCCCCTGACCAAACCCAGCAGAGCTTCTAACCAGGTAGATGTGGTCCTGGGACACCCCTTGACCTTTCCTGTGTCAGAATGTCACTGACACCTGTGGGGGCAACAGCTGGCTCTTCTCAGAGAGAGATGGTCTAAGTGTCGGGCTTCCAAGTCTAGAGCATGAGGTGATTTTTCTAATATTGTGACTTGTGACTTGGATTTTTAGCCTTAGTCTCCTCAGGCGACTCCTGAAGTCAAGACTAGGCTCGTGGTTCTCACACTTTTCATGGACTGGACTTCCTGTTCCATTTAAACACAGACACGTAATTAGATAATCCATTCTCTGAGGAAGTTGAATAAACATTTTTCTAAACTAAGTGGTATTACTTATGGTGAACTTCAGAATACCCAGGGAACAAATATTGTTGGTTTCTTCAGGTAGCCAAAAATAGGAAAAATAAGAATGAACAGATTTAGGTCCAATTCCAGAATTCTGTTTCTCCAGGTGACTCCAAGGATTTTCATGGGCGGTCATTGCTGCAACTCCCAAAGCTTATGGCCTCATTCTAAGGCTGGGTCTCCTTTGCTGTTCTCTCCTCAATGTAGCATTGTTCATTCCTACTCAGCCCAGAGCTCCATGCTCACCTCCTTTTTCTGTTTAAAGTTCCACCCTGGGCCAGATGCAGTGGCTCACGACTGTAATCCTAACACTGTGGGAGGCTGAGGTGGGCGATCGCTTGAGCCCGGGAGCTTGAGACCAGCCTGGGCAATTTGGCAAAACCCTGTCTTTACAAAAACTACAAAAATTATCCAGGCGTGGTAGTGCCTGCCTGTAGTCCCAGCCACTCAGGAGACTGAGGTGGGAAGATCACTTGAGCCCAGGGATGGTCGAGACTGCAGTGAGCCCAGACTGTGCTACTGTACTCCAGCGTGGGCAACAGAGTGAGACCTTGGCTCACTAAATAAATTAATTAATAAAGTCCTATCCTGTCCCATTTAATGATGTCATTAGTATGTGATTGGCCATGTTCTACGTACTCTGCGTATATTAACTATTATATTTTCATGAGCACCTAGGAAGAAAGTCCTACTATAACCTCCATTTCTAACATCAAAACTGAGGGATAGACAAGTAATTTGTCCAATATAGTAAACGCCAGAGTTGGGTTGGAGCACAAGGCACACGCTCTCAGCTTTAACTCATGCTTCCAGGCAACACAGGAGAAGCATTCTATAATAAAGAGGATGGATCTCTGGTCAGATAGGCCTGGGTTCAAATCCTGCCTCTGAAACTCATAAGCTTTACCATTTGGGAAAGTTACTTAACCTCCTCTGAACCTGTTTTTCTTCTGTGAAATGGGCATGATAATAATACCTACTTTTTGAGGTGGATTTGACAATCAGATGTACGTAAATCACTAAGCAAAGGATTTGTCTCCATTTCCAGGCAGGTGACTTATAAAAAATATTACTGATGTATTTTATTTTAGAAATTCCAAGATGTCACTATACCTCTCTCCATCTAGATATGCCATAGTTCCCTTGAAGTCAAACCCAAATACCAACTTGTTATCAGTTCTCTTGCTCAGGCCGGATATCTAGAGCCATCTTCGCTTCACCTCCATCCTCCATCTTCCGACCTCTATATCTATTCAGCAGACAAGACTCGCTGATTCCTTCAGTTTGGCTGGAAACATCCAAATGTTTCCTCCATTACCATTGTTAAAATTTACCACATGTTGGCCAGCTGTGCTGGTTCACGCCTGTAATCACTTTGAGAGGCTGAGGTGGGAAGATCATGAGGTCAGGAGTTCGAGACCAGTCTGACCAACATGGTGAAACCCCATCTCTACTAAAAATACAAAAATTAGCCGGGCATGGTGGTGAGTGCCTGTAATCCCAGCTATTCGGGAGGTTGAAGCAGGAGAATTGCTTGAACCCAGGGCAGAGGTTACAGTGAGCCGAGATCACATCACTGTATTCTCCAGCCTGGGAAACAGAGCCAGACTCCATCTCAGAAACAAAAACAAACAAACAAAAAACCAAAACTTACCATGTGTCAGGTACTGTGGAAGTAATTAAAAACACCTCCAGAGTTAGATATTACTGTTACCTGTATCTTCAGTTTCCAATTTAGTGATGAGAAAGCTGAGTCTGTAAGAGACTAAGTGGTTTGTTCAACGTTTCATAATGAATATGTAATAGACCAGGGATTGGAATTTATACTGTCTTATTCCAGAGCCCATGATCTCATACAATCTCAGCAGTTCCTATGGTTACACTGGACAATTTGCAGCTCTGAAATGAACTGAGACTAGATCTTGCAGGTCTTTAGTTCAAGTATCCCAGGAAACAGCTCATTTTGGTCAAGCCAAATCAGGCCACCACTCCTAGGCCAATCACCGTGACCAGGGATGTGGGGCCTGTAAAAAGGTGGCAGCTCCCATTTGACGCAGATAGTCTGAAGGGCAGGCCTGTGGCCAGAAGGTGAAAAAAGGAGGGGTGCAACACGAGACAAGGCCACTATGCTTCCCTACTCAAAAACCTGTTGTTCCATTTTGACTACTGTATGTAGTACCTTGAAGGCCACTGTGATCTGACCTCTACCTCCATTTACACCTTAATCTCTCATCATACTCCATCATATTTTCTTCTCTCAAACCACGATAGACTCCTACACTTCCTCTACCCAGTACTTTTCTGTGATTGGTCTTTTATTCTCATAGCTTCCTTAGTTAAAAATCCTTCATTCTCCAGCTCTGCCTATTTGCCATTTAACCACTTCAGGACTCAGACCAGATGCTCCCTTGATTGGGAAGTGTGCCTTCCCAGCAGAAAGTAACACCCCGCTCTGTGCTGCATATGTGGGGTCCATAGTCCTTCAGAGATGCCATGAGTGGGAGTTCTCCTGAGGGCGTTGTGCCTTTTATATCCATATGTCCATTCACTGGCTGTGGGCTTCCTCAGGAAGGGGTGACATGATCATGGGGAGGTGGCTCTCTTCTGCTGAGAACGATCCCAGAGAGGGCTGACTGCCAGTAGAACTTCCAGTAGTGGAGCGTGGAATAATGAGGTGAGGAGGGTGACTAAGTCACTCAGCCCTGAAGGAGGAGACTGTGGCAGCACTTCAGTCTCCATCATGCTCTAGAATCACAAGGAGTTTTGTGGAAAGCTCTCGATTACTCCAGAGGCTGAACTTGAGGAGGGGGCGGATTGTAAAATTCCATGAGAAAAAGGGATAAAAAAATGTCAAGGAGCAGGTTAGAAAGTATAAGGGCTAGTGCCAGAAAGTATTTGATTAAGGTTCAGATGTTTGATGTGGAAAAGAAATTTCTTGAATCAACAGGGTGTCATTCTTTCCTAGCATTTATTCAACAGATGTTCATGGAGTCTTACCAGGAGTTATATTCAGGAATGTTCTAAGTGCTGAGGATATCACAGTGAGGGAGACAAAAACTGTGTTCCAAGCAATTCTGTGTACATACTAGAATGTCAGGGAGCAATAGGTGCTACAGAGGAAAAGAATAGGGTCAAGCAGATAAAGGCATAGGGTTTTACCCTAAGTACAATGGGAAGATGGTGGCAGGTGTTGAGCAGAGAAGAGGCACAATAGTGATTTATGTGTCCAAGGTTCTCATTGGCTGCTGAATAGAGAACAGACAGTAGGAGGGTAAGAGTGAATGCAGGGAGATGGCTAGGAGACTACTCCAGTGGTCCAGGTGAGAAATGGTGATGGGCTGGATGGGGGTAGCAATGGAGCTTGTGAGAAATGGTTTTATTCAGTATTTGCTTTGAAGGCAGAGCTGACTGGGGTGAGAGAAGATTAAAGAATTCATAGATGACTTCAAGTTTTTGACTTAAGGAAGGGTGGGCCGGGCGCGGTGGTTCGTGCCTATAATCCCAGCACTCTGGGAGGTCGAGGCGGGTGGGTGGATCACCTGAGGTCAGGAGTTCGGGACCAGCCTAGCCAACATGGTGAAACTCCATCTCTACTAAAAATAAAAAATTAGCTGGATGTAGTGGCATGCGCCTGTAGTCCCAGGTACTTGGGAGGCTGAGGCAGAAGAATCTCTTGAACCCGGGAGGCAGAGGTTGCAGTGAGCTGAGATTGCACTATTGCACTCCGGCCTGGGCGACAGAGTGAGATTTTATCTCAAAAAAGAAAAAAAAGAAAGAAAGAAAAGGAAGAATAAAGTTGCCATATACTGAGATGAAGGAAGACTGTGGGATGCACAGTTGTTTTTTTGCAGAAAAATTCTTGAACATGTTGAGTTTGAGATGCCAACTAGATATTCAAGAGAAGATGTTGAGTAGGCAGACACATAGGTCTGCAGGTCAGAGAAGGAGAGGGGTGGAGAGACTTATTTAAAGCCATGGAGTGGATAAAAGATGTAGATAAAGAAGAGAAGACATCCCAGGAAAGAGCCCTGGGGCAAAATACTATTCAGAGGTGAGGCAGAGGAGGAGGACAGCATGAGAAAGTGAAGACACAGTAGGAGAAGCCGGAAGGGGCTGTGTGGTGTCCCAGAAGCTCAGTGAGAAGAGTGTTTTAAGAAGGAGGGAGTGTTCAGCTGTATCAAACGCTGCTGCAATGTGCGATGTCAACGTGCAGAGCAGAAACTGATCTTTGAGCTTGGCATTGTGGGGAATGCTGGTGATTGTGACTGTGGGGATTGTTTCAGTGACGTGGTGGGAATGAAAAGACTGAATTACGTAGTTCTGGAGAAAATGGGGAGAAGGCAGTAGAGCAAGTGTGTAGAGAGATTTTATGAAGGGCAAGTTTTGCTATAAAGGGAAACAGGGGAGTAGGAAGGGGTTTTTACTTACCACTAAATCATGAGTGTTTTCTTGGGTCTTTAAGAATTCCTTGTATATCATAACCTATACTGTTTGTGGTGACACTAAAAAGTATAAAAGTAATGCATGCATAATTTATACTACTGTATATAATATGAATAATTACATTCATGTAGTCAGACCTTATCTGCCCAGAGCATAGCTGAGAAGCCGAAAGGAAATCGTCTCTGGTAGTCAAAGCAATTCCTGTGTACTCCTAGCTAGATTACACACTTCACTCTCTAGAGGACTCTCCAAGTTCGTCTCATTTTTATGTTTAATAAAGTCAAATTTTATTTCACAAAGTTCTTAAAAAGCTTCACAGCCTAAGTCTTCAAGAAACCAGAAGATGGCATTTAGAAGGTTAGGATGGAGAAAGGGTGAAGGATGCGGTTGGGTTGGTGGAACAGCTATAGAAACTCTAAAAGCACAGCTGTTCGCGGCCACCCAGGGAGAGGCACACAGAACAAGCTGTTGTGCTCAGTTGTGCAGGTTGTTCACTGCACAGGGCTCCCTGCACAGAGCTGTAGCCTTCGGGGGGAGGGGCACCTTCTAGTCACATGAAGGTGTCGGTGTCATTCACTGATCAGGTTCATGTTCTCAGGGCTGTGTGTGCCCCAAGGCTCTCCCTAATTCATCCTCCCAGAGAATGTGCCTTTTTCTAATTTGCATAAAAGAGTAGAGGCTAGCAACAGCTCTGGTCTAGCTCCTAGACACATTGTATTTCGAATGGTGACCTTAAATCAAGAAGATGCTAAATTTTCTTCATTTTTTAGACTGTAAAGATGCAGAGCTCATTTATCTTTAGTGTTTGAAAGACAAGCTTTGGGTATCTAGAACATTAAGTTAGTTGAAATATCATAAAGACACCAGATAAACAGTTTTATTAGTTCTAAATAGTCCATCCTAGTATTTTGTAAATAAGGAATTCTTTTTGGTCAAAATAATACTGGAAACAAGGAAGGAATAATCCTTTTAGGTTTCACCTACTTGGGGAAGAACCTGGCTTTACTAATTAAGTATCAAGAGACAATACAGTATCATATATGTGCCAGAACTGGTAACACTGTATCCTATAGAAACAGTCTGGGATTCTTGGTGAGTCCCATTATTAAATGTTATTATTTTCTACATCTACAAGCCATCGAAATGACAATTCCCCAAGTGATCTTGTCAGGCCAAGAAAAAGATCTTTGTAATACCGTGGCTTTGTTCCAGGAAAGGGGTCCCAATTAATACCCCAAGGAAGGGTTCTTGGATCTCGCATATGAAAGAATTCAGGGCAAGTCTACAATGCAAAGTGAAGGCAAGTTTATTAAGAAAGTAAAGGAATAAAAGAACGACTACTCCATAGACACAGAAGCCCTGAGGGCTGCTGGTTGCCCATTTTTATGGTTATTTGTTGATGATATGCTAAATAAGGGGTGGATTATTCATGCCTCCCCCTTTTTAGACCATAGAGGGTAACTTCCTGACTTTGCTATGGCATTTGTAAATTGTCATGGCACTGGTGGGAGCAGAACATTGAGAACAACAAAGTCACTCTTGTCGCCATTTTGGTTCTGGTGGCTCCTTTACTGCAACCTGTTTTACCAGCAAGGTCTTTATGACTTGTATTTTGTGCTGACCTCCCATCTTATCCTGTGACTTAGAATGCCTTAACCATCTGGTAAGGAAGCCTAGTAGGTTTCAGCCTCATTTTACCTGGCTCTTATTTAAGATGGAGTTGCTTTGGTTCAAATGCCTCTGACAGCTTTGCTTGACATAATCTTCCTCCAAGAACCCAGTGCTGATGCATTTCTAAATTATAGAAACCACAGGGAAAAGTCGTTGCAGAAACTCATGCAGCCCATTTAAATTCTACTACCAGGCCAGGCGCGGTGGCTCACGCCTGTAATCCCAGCACTTTGTGAGGTCGAGGTGGGTGGATCACGAGGTTAAGAGATCGAGACCATCCTGGTCAACATGGTGAAACCCTGTCTCTACTAAAAATACAAAAAGTTAGCTGGGCATGGTGGTGCGTGCCTGTAATCCCAGCTACCCAGGAGGCTGAGGCAGGAGAATTGCCTGAACCCAGGAGGCGGAGGTTGCGGTGAGCCAAGATCACACCATTGCACTCCAGCCTGGGTAACAAGAGCAAAACTCCGTCTCAAAATAAATAAATAAATAAATAAATAAATAAATAAATAAATAAATAAATAAATTCTACTAACAAAACAGAGTTTAGGAGAAAGAAAAAAAAATTAAAATCTACCTTGTGCATCTGAATGATAAGGCATGAGTTAGGGATTTTGAAAAGCTGTAGGTTAGGTTGTGCACTCCTCACTCCCCTAAACTTGGACAATTCAGACAAATCCCTCCCATCTTTCCTCCCTCTTTTCCTTCCCCTCTCCTTCCCTCCTTTCTTTCCTCTTTTTCTCCTTCCTCCCTTCTTTCCTTTTCTCATCAGATTATCTGAATAGTGTCTCCCTCTCAATGTAGTAGAGTTTCCAGATACGGCAGCTCATTGTTATTTTTTCCCTCTTACCTAGAAAAGGGGAAAGAGGGCACTTGCACTGTGATCATATGCTTTGTTGTCCATAAAAAACAATTTAAACTGGTCCCCTCAAGAAAGAATCCATGCAATGCAAGGAGGAAGAACAGTGAATTCACAGAGAGCTTGTTCCCATCCAGGTGGAGCTGCAGTCTCTTTTTACTAATCTATTTGATCAGCTGGGGGAAATCATTCTTATTTACATAACCTCCTGATCCTTTGTGTTTCAGGATGGCACCATTCCAGGATGTGGTTTCCATATGAATGGAGCTTAAAGGCCCCCAGGTGCCCATCAGACACCTATTGGAGATAGCTTCTCCAGAATGTCCAGGAATTTCTGGTTGTTTTCCTCTCTTACAATCTTGCAGAATGATCTAATATTTGCAAATACTTATGCCTGCTTTAACAATTCAATGAGCAAATATGAAATTAATTTAGAAAATTGTCTGAAAAACTCATGTGCCTACTGCATATAAACTCTCCTCCTGGCTGCTGCAGAGACTAGGGAGCTAGCCCTGCATTTGAGAAACAGACAGGTGAGAAAAAGCCCCTAAACGTTAATCTTCTTCCTGGCTGTGGGGGGGGCATTGCTAAGCCAAGGCAGGAGGATTGTGTGAGACCAGGAGTTTGAGGCCAGCCTGGGGAACATAGTGGGACCTTTGTCTCTACAGAAAGTAAAAAAAAAAAAAAACTAACTAACCAGGTGTGGTGGTGCACGGCTATAATCTTAGCTATCCTGGAGGCTGAGGCAGGAGGGAGCCCAGGAGTTTGAGGCTGCAGTCAGCTACAACTTCACCCTGGGTAACAGAGCAAGACCCTGTCTTTAAAAAGAGAGAGAGAGGGAGAAAGGGAGAAAAAGAAAAAAAGAAAAGAAAGAAAAGGAAAGAAGGAAAAGGAAAGGAAAGAAAGGGAAAGGAAAGGAAAGGAAAGGTAAGGTCAGGAAAGGAAAGAGAGAAATCCTATTCCTATTACGCTGAGCACACCAGGAGCACAGGCAATGTTTTTTCTCTATAGCTTCTACATCACCTAAATATAGTGTTAAGGACATAAACTAGTGATCGATAAATGGTTCTTGCAGTGAATTTCCATAATTAAAACCCACAGTAGTCATCAGCCAAATTCTGGAGGAAACAAGAGCTCCTTTCTCTCATTGTCCAGGGCCAGAGCAGGGTGGGGGGCATATAAGGGCCACATAACCTTCCATAGTGGGAAGTGATGTCAGACAAGAGGTGATGAATACTTTATGTGGTTCAAATGAAAAGCACATTTAAGGAGACAGAAATGGTGAGACATTGCTTATTGAAGAAGAGAATCTTTCACCTCTGAAAAAAACCAAGTGGGTTGGAAGCTTTGAGTATTCATGGCAAAATAGTTTTTGTGCCTATTTCACCCTCCTACTGGTTTCTACTAAAAAATGGAGCTTTTCAACTACACAGGTGTCTACTCACTTATGGTTCTCAGAGCTGGGATTGGACCACAGAGAAAGAAATAAAAGGCCTCATGAGGCAATCACCAGCTCCTCCGCATCTAGACTTTGGCTACAAAATGTTGCCTGCATTTCCTTACTGCCTCTATACTTGTGTCTTCTCTGAAGAACAATGCAAGCTTCCAGCTGGGTTAAACCCAATTTAGCACAGCACCGTCCTTTAGATATTTTTAAAAATGTAAAGAAAAATGACCACTGTTCTCACACTGTAATTTCCAAATGGCAATTTCCCTATTATATAGTTGTTAAAAGTGAAAATTTTTTTAAGGTAAAAGGAAAAAAAAAAAAAAAAACCACCCAGCTGCTCAGTGAGGCAGAGTTAAAATATTCTGCAGAAACAGCACTTATGAAACAGGCAGAACCCCCAGGGCTACCAATTTATGAACACACAACTGGCAGTACAAGACAGGTGTATTGTCATAGACTCACCACCCAGAAAGCACTATTATTTACTTTTAACAATAAACATTTTATGATGGCACTCCGTTTTAGTGAGAAATGACTGGGGGAATCAAATATGTGTATTGCAGAATCAAACACGGGCACTCCCTAGGGATTTCACTGGCTTTCTCTCACAAGCTGCTGGGTACATTATTTCTTTTCCACTTACATTTTATAGCACAGAGTGGGGGTGGGGGTGGGGGCTCTTGGTTTACTGGCTGTCACATTTGTTAATCAAATGAATCCAGTCCTACAAACGATGAGCCTGTGACAGCTGGCCTTTGGGGATGGATTCTGCCCTGGGCAGCAAAATGTCCCTGATTTGAATATTTTTTTTCCAGGTTGAGAACTCCAGCACTTAAAATGTAGCATGTTACCACTGTGAAATAACAGGCATTCCGAAAGAACCCTCGGCATCTGATGCCTTTCCGAAAACACCTGGGACACTCTGCTTAACCTTTACCAGCAGTTTTAAATACTACAATGCAGGTACAAGCAGAAAAGCCAAGGATACCGGCTATGCAAAGCCACTCTGTGACTCCACCTACTGCCATGGGAACGTGCTTATGGATGTGGCATGTGAGTGTGTGTATGTGTGAGTGGGTTTGTGAAAGTGTGTAGATTTGTGTGAATACGTGTGTGGGTGCTTGTGTATGTGTGTGTTTGTATTTTTGGGTGAATTTGTGTATTTGTATGTGAATGCACATGTGTGTTCATCTGTGTTTGTATAAGACTATCTGCTTGTGAGTCTATGATTGTGAACGTGTGAGTATATGTGTGGTTTGTGTGAATGTGTGAGTGTAAATGTGTGTATGAGTATATATTTGCATGTGAGTTTGAGTGAATGTGTGGATTGTGTGTGAATGTGTGTATGAGTGAGCATCAGTGCGTGCATCTGTGTAGTTGCCTAAGTGTGTATCTGTATGTGGGTTTGTATTTTTGTGCGCAGGAGAGCACATTGTGGGTGTGTTTGTCTATATGTATTTGTGTGTTGTGACTGTGTATTGTGAGCGTTGTGTGACTGTGTGTCATGAGTGTGCCCATGTGTTTTTGTGCATATGTGCGAGCATTGTGTGCATTTGTGAGTGTATATTTTTGTGCATCTGAGTGTGTGCGTTGTGGATCTGGGTGAATGTACTGGTCTGCGTGTGTGTGGGTGTGCGTGTGTGTGCGCGCGTTGTGCTCGAGTGTGCGAGCGCGCGTGTGAGCGGGTGTGTGGTGCGTCCGGGGGCCTCCACCTTCCCTATCCGCCCCATCCCGGCGGGCGCCTGAGCAGAGGCAGCAGCCCGGGCCCGGGCGGGCGAGGGAGAGACGCACACCAGGGCGAGCGGGCTGCGCCACCGCCGGCGCCGCGCCTACTTTGCCCTTTAAATCGGTCTCTAAGCCGATTACAGCTGAGCTCCCACGTGACGTTTTACCTTCTGTCTCCCGGAGCGCATTGCCCGAGGACAGTCCTTTCCCGGCTGCCGCCCCAGCCCGCCGCGGGGGCTCGCCTCCCGCAACTTTGGGCAAAGCGTCGGCCGGCTAGGGCGCCCTCGCGGGGCCGCGCTACACGCGGGCGTCGGAGGCTCTGGGGGCTCCAGGGGCTTGGCCGCGAGGGTGGCGGTTAGGGCGGAGAGCGTGCCCCGGCCCCAGCCCGCGCCCCTGGCACCGCGCGCCGCCGCCTGCCGAAAGCGGCCCGGGTGCCCTGAGCGCGGCGTTGGGAAAGGGGGAGCCCTTCGCAGGCCGGGACCTGAGCGGGCGCGCCCTCGAGGGAGCCGGCCGGGCCATGGCCTCGAGGCAGGGGTGAGGCGGGCGGACGCCCGCGCGCGCTGCGAGCCCGCACCATGCAGAAGAGCGTGCGCTACAACGAGGGGCACGCCCTGTACCTGGCCTTCCTGGCGCGCAAGGAGGGCACCAAGCGCGGCTTCCTGAGTAAGAAGACGGCCGAGGCGAGCCGCTGGCACGAGAAGTGGTTCGCCCTATACCAGAATGTGCTCTTTTACTTCGAGGGCGAGCAGAGCTGCCGCCCGGCGGGCATGTACCTCCTGGAGGGCTGCAGCTGCGAACGAACGCCGGCGCCACCCAGGGCCGGCGCCGGGCCAGGAGGCGTCCGGGACGCTCTGGACAAGCAGGTACCGCCTGCCCTCCCTCTGCGGTGTCCCAGCCTTGGCCTCCGCACTCCCTTGCAGTCCTAACCCGGGATCGGGGGTCGGGAACCAGTGCTGGGACCGTGCTCCGAAATCTCCCCGCGGCACCAGTGGCGGGACATCTCCGCGCGCCTCCCTATCTTCATCCAGGAATTCTCCCATCTCCACACCCCTCCACCCCACTGCCAAGTGATCGGTCAGAATAGTGGCCCCACTTGCTTTCAGGACCCCCTAATAGAGGTCGAGTCGTTTCAGCTTCTCTGCCAACCATCCATTGCTTCTCTAGACCTGGCTGGCAAGAATTTTGTCTGGTGACTTGTATCGACACCTGTTGGGTGTAGATTGGCAAGACGGAACTAACTTATTTGGAAAAGTTTGGTTTCTGCCATACCCGGCTGGCGCGTGTAGATTTCTTTGCCTGCAGATGTTTGACCACTGGTTGAGCTGGGTACAAGCGGGGCTTCCAAGCCGGACAGACACTTTCTGTTGGTCATTTTCAATCAGTCTTTGTGATTTAGGTCAGTTTGCCTTGCTAACATTTGACCTGCTGGGTCTAATTATGAAGGTAAATGTGTATTCATATTCCTCAGGATTAATATTTGGTAGCCACATTCTTGCCATGTTTAAAAATGTGGACATTTTTAAAGAACACTTCTGTACTTTTAAATGACTGCTTTGAAAATGAATGCGACCTTTTAATTCTGGGTCATAATTTTATTAGTTTTGCTGTGTGCTCATGGCCGCGGGGTGGGAGAGAAAAACCCTTTCGGTCTAGTGATCCCAGCCCCCCACCTCCTGCAAATACAAAATTTGTATTTTTTCAATCACTATTTGGTTATTAAAATTAAAGCAGACTAATTTTATGCTCCCTATGTTCTCATTTTGCTTCTCGATCCTCACCTTGATATGAAAAAGGCCGATTGTTTTTGCTATTGCATAAAAATATTTCGCAGCTGAATTTTCCATGTAAGTCAGATCAGACTGCATCTACCACAAACCACAGAGGCTGTGGGAAGTGCTAGCAATGGAGTAATCCATAAGATGCCTACCTAGCCCCTTGGGGCTCATAAAACAATGTGTAAAATTAAGAGGAGTTAAAACTAGACCAGCCAGAAGTTTGATTTGTTTTCACTATAAATCATTAACAGATTTAACTTGTTATAACACTTAGAAACCTGAAATTTTAAATATGCTCTTTAGTTTCTGAGGGCTTATTCAGAGTCATTTGAAAAACTGATTTCCAACTTTATAGATACAGGTACTAGAAATATAAACATAAATTTCAAGTCATACATTTTAGAATTTAATTTGGGAGAAGAATTTTGAGGAAACACTTTTTTTTCTAGGATTATATATATATATATTTTGGAGTTAGGGGTGGGGACTTGTTACCTGTTACAATTCGTATGTCTCTCTGACTTGTTAACATTATATGGAAACCAACATTTTTCTACTTGGAAAATATCTGGACTATAATCTTCAGGACTGTTTTCTTTCTTGCACTTTGATAAAGAAACATAACTTCCAAATGGTTTGACTTTCATGCCACTTTCTAATGGTTGTCCTAAACGAGCCATCTAATGAAAAATTTTTTTTTCCCTTTTTATGACCATACAAATGATGAGTCCTTCTCAGTCATTTTATGCATCTTCAAGAGGTTAGAAGTTAGAATCTTTGGTGTTTGTAGATAAATCTAACATGTAGAGAAGCAAGCATTCCAGAATGCATTAGGAGCTGGGTTGGGAAGGCTTCCAAATTTTGTCTTGCATTAGATGTGCTTCTGTGAGTTGGGTTAGCTTAGCTGACTGTTGCTTTTATCTGGCACTGCCAACTGGGTGTGTTTGAATAATTAAGAAGAAACTGTGAAAATAAGAAACAAGGAGAAACATTCTACCTTAAATCTATAGTTTATGCAGTTGGTTCCCTTTCAGCTAATTTATGTTGCTGAGGTGCTCAGATCATCCAGATACATCCAGACACAAAGGATCTGTGGAGGATGTGAGGAGACGAGCACATCCCAAGGTCTGCTTCTCCTTGTATGCTTCTGCAGCTTTCCATGTCAGTGTCTCCCTCAATGCTATCAACACAGTTGAAGTTTAGGGATTGAAACAGGACTTAGCGAGACAGAGTTGTTTTTCTTCACCAAGTTTCCATGTTATTTCTTTAAGCAAATCTCTTAATATTCTCTCTCTCTCTCTCTCTCTCTTTTGGTTAATGAAATCTCTGTTTCCTAATATGTAAAAATTAAGAGTTTGGCTAAGCTGATGATTTCCAGGTACCTTCCAATAATGGCGTCTTCTATTTCTAAGGTTATGACAGACAGTGTGAGTTTTTTGCAGTGTGGAGACTGTAAAAGACCATTTCACAAGATTCAAAGATTACCAGTGTTTGTAATAAATACTGCATCTGAGAAGCCAAGGACAAGCAGGTGATTGAAGTGGACATTCTGATAAATTAGGTCAGAAGATGTGCAAATCTGTAGTAACATCATTGCCTGAGGCAGAGACATTCTTATTAATCACATTGGAGGGCAACATATTTATTGTAATCTCCTTGACAGTTACAATAGTTGATGTAATTCTTGCAATAAACTGCCTCTAAGCATTCTTGAGAGCTTAAATTCCACCTCTCCTTCAAATAATTTTTATGCTTATTAATTGTGTTTTTAGGTAGGTTATGAGAAGAAAACACCCATTGGTTTGCTTCATCTAATTAATAATTCAAAATAAGTTGGTTGACAACAACAACAAAAAATTATTTTATTTTTGTACTTGGACTTAAACAGTTTCCAGTTAAGCAGAAAAAAGAAAGACAATTTTTACTTTCCAAATATGCTGAGGTTGCAGGAGTATTTGCACTGCTCTATTTTTTTTTTCACAGTGTTCTCAGATTTCACTTTGATGAGTCCTTGAAGGATTGCAAGGCTCTCTTACCAGCCTTCCACGGTGACTACTTCTTTGGGGTAGTAATGGTGATATACTCAAAATGAGATCAGTTAAAAACAATTTTAAGTGGTTTATTTTCTCCAAAAGTGTTATTCCTTTTCTTAAAAATGTGGCACTTCCTTCGAGTAAAGCTCCATTTGTGGAAAATGAGAACCTTCCCTTTTGTTCCAGGTGAAGGAGAAAGGGAAGTTGTATTTAGCAAGTACCTTCTGCATGGTAGGTTCTGTGCTCTGGGTGGCTGTTATCCTCCATTACCTCATCTAATTTGAACTTCAGCTTTTGGAGATGATGCTCATTAACACCATCATTATTATTACCTATTGCTGACATTGAAGCTCAGAGACTTCTAGGGAGATGATCAAAGTCCAGCTGAAGATATGGAGACTAAATAAATAATGTGGAAGAGTTCCTTACTAAGACTGGATTTAAATCCACTGAGCAAATCTGAATGGATGGGGCTTTGGGGTTATATGATGTGAATCACTGTTTTGTTTATTCTTATTTCCTTTTCAAAACTATTTAAATGGCAGTTGTAATTCTTAAGAAATACAATTGTAGATGATTACATGTGTAATGAAAAATGAGATTTATTTTTAAACAAGCAGTTTCACACAACATTCCTTTACTTCAGGAATTCATTTACTTCAGGAATGGGGTACCTTTAAAAATATTTGCATTTAGGGTGAAAGTACACATCCTGGTTAGTCTGCTCTGTTTAAGTAGCAGGATCTGTCTTGCCTACTAGCAGGAGAAGACATGTAGCAACAAAGCCACCTTGATTCTTATTTTGCTGGTGATGTTCAATGTTCTGTTTAGCCTAATTTCACTTGTTTTGGGGGTAAATATCTCTTTAGCTCTGGAGGTTTAAAGAAGTAGACATTTACATTTGTGCTGAATTAAACATGTTGGTTTAATTTTAAAGGGATTAAAGGCTATGTGATTTCCTGTCACTTCATTACTAGATAGTCATTTTAGCCCTCCTAACTTGACCATAAGCAGAGGATTTTAATCATGCGAATGAATTAGGCTTAGCTGCATGCAAGCTCTGAAATATTTGTGGGAGACGGAGAGTGTGGATGGTGGATTTTCATGCTACTTCATGTTGCTTAATCATAACCAACTAACTATATTCTTTTCAACTTTTGCTTACTGAACACAGAGGGAAAATGTAGTAATGATATTTGCTAAATCTTGTACAACATTAAAAAATACAGTTTTGGGAACAAAATGATTTACTTAAACTTTGTAATTATCCTTCTATTTAAAGTTAAATGGAGAAAAAATCTCATGGATTAGTAAAATTGAGTTATTTTAATTTTGGCTACACTAAGCCTTACTATTTAGATTATTGTATAAGAATTCAACATAAAAAAAACTCCATCCCTGATGTGACAGATGTTTTAATACATAAAAATGCATTCTTTTTGTGAACAATTATTTTTCTGTGGGTTTCAATAAGCGTCAACTAAATGCACTATTGAGGGGTAGAAAATATTTGTAGTGTTATAACAATTTTTTCCTTCCTTTGACAATTAAAAAATAGAGAAATTTTTCTCATAGTGGGTGATGATAAGACCGAAAGTATGTGTGATAAGCAATTGTTTCTGGTTTTAGCAAAGCAAATGTCAGTGGTTTGTTAGAACAATTGTTGATATCGCTGTTTAATGCAGATTATATTTTGAAATTGATTTTTTTCTACATTTATAAATACTACTTAAATATGTATGCCACAGTCAGTATAATTTTAATTTTTTGGAATGAAAAACCTTAAGTCTTTATGATTATTTTGTAATGAAATTAGATTGACCAATAATATGGATTTGCTCAGGTCTTAAATTCACGTTTAAAGTGGCTTTCTGTTTTTATACCTATTTATTCATTCTACAAGAAAGGGGTGTGTGTGTGTGTTTGTGTATGTGTG